GTTGCCCTTTGAGACGCGCTCTGTCTTCATCTACGGCGGCGAACAGCATGGACCTGAATATCGGCAACTGAATCCAGGGCGAATGGTTCCCGCCCTGGTGGTAATTGAAGAGGATAACAACAGCAGCTCAAAGACTCTCTTTGAATCGCTGGCCATCATAGACTACCTCGAGCAACGGTTTCCGAGTTCAAANGACTACCTCGAGCAACGGTTTCCGAGTTCAAAGAGCCAAAGTCCTCCGCTGGTTCCCAACGGCTCCGATTCCGTTTCTTTTTCTCAACGAGCCAGCGTCCTCGCAGTAGCCCAGGCGATTGTCAGCGGCATTCAACCGTTGCAGAACATGGCGGTGATGCAATTCGCCGCCGACTTTGCTTTAAAAGAATCCTCTTCTTCAGCTTCAACTTCGAAGTCAGACCAGGCACAGCTGGCGCTTGCCTGGAGCCGCCACTGGATCACCACCAAGTTCGCCCGTCTGGAAACCATTTTAGAACCGCTTTCAACTACTGGAAAATACTGCGTCGGAGATCGCCTGACCCTTGCCGACCTCTGCCTAGTTCCGCAGGTGTACAATGCCCTACACTACGGCGTCGACGTTGAGGGCCAGTTTCCGCTGATCAACAAGTTGTACAACAAGCTGCTAGCTGAAGAGGAATGTATCCGCTTGGGACGACCCGAGGCTCAGCCTGATTGGGATCCTCAACGAGAGCGAGACGTTTCGGGTTTCTAAAATGACAAGATGTACTTTGCCTGCACCCTACTACCACTCATCTGTTTCTGACCCTGCCCTGCGTCCTAATTCAGAACAGGGCAGACAGAGTTTGACCTGGAAAATTAGCCGGAAAAATCTGGCGCAGTAGATCATCATCAGCTTCACATCAGCTTCATTCCTTATCAATTGCCTGAATGTAATAATAGTGCTCCATCCTACCCATCCATCCATCCATCAATAGTTGTCAAGAGTTTGTTGCAAGTCAACAAGCTGCTGCTACTGATAAGGATAAGATACTCGGTCTGTCTCTTCAAAGACGCGCTCACGTTCGCCACACCACACCAAAATCTCGTACGAAGTGTGTACGATTAGACAGTACTTGTTGCTGATAAAAACTCCGCCAAACACTGCCTAATCTTTCGAGCGTCTTTTTCGAGTGCACCGCCAAAACAAAGTTTTTGCGGTGGTGGAAGTGTGTGTATATAAAAAGACGAAGTGCCCTCTGTCCTACTTTTAAAATCTTTGTCTTGCTTAAGTTTGAGTTTGATCATCATCAAAGTGTTCATCTGAAGATCATCATCAACTAAAAGAAAAAAGATGACAAAGGCCAAAAAGAAGCTAACCATCCTCGCCACGCCCCTCGCCGCTGTGGGCCACGTCAACGGCTGCAGCGGCCCTCTTCGAACGGTTCTAAAACGCGGCCACCGAGTGGTTTTTCTTCTCGAGGCGGCTTTCAAGGGCTCACAGGCGGCGCACGGCTTCGAGGAGATGATCTACACTTTTCGAAGCAACGGCAGCAAAACTGAAGAAGAGGCTGCTGAAGAACCTGCTAAAGAAAATGGCCACGAAAACGGAACCAAAGAAGAAGAAGAAGAGCTGACTGCAGGCGAAGTGATGGCCCGGACGATGGAAGCGGGGAAGATCCTCGGCGACCACAGTCCGG